TGACATCAGGAGTTCAAGACCAGCCTGGTCAACATGGTGAAACCCTGTCTCTACTAAAAACACAAAAATGAGGTGGGTGTGTTGGCGTCTGCTTGTAATCCCAACTACTCAGTAGGCTGAGGCATGAAAATTGCTTGAACCTGGGTGGCAGAGGTTGCAGTGAGCCGAGATGGCCACTGCACTCCAGCCTGGGCAACAGAGCAAGACTCTGTCTCAAAAAACAAACAAACAAAAAAAACACACAAAAAAACTTAGATTATCCTCCTTGATTCCTCTTTCCTGTGCACCCTACACACATCTGCTAGCTTGCTCTGTCTGCCCTACCTCCCAAATTACATCCCAAATCTGATCACTGCTCTGCTCCACACCCTAACCTAAATTACCACCCATCAGGCCAAGCGTGGTGGCTTACGCCTGTAATCCCAGCACTCTGGGAGGCCAAGGTGGGAGGATCACCTGAGGTCAGGAGTTTGAGACCAGCCTGGCCAACATGGTGAAATCCCATCTTTACTAAAAAAAAAAATTAACTAGGCATGGTGGCAGGCGCTTGTAATCCCAGCCACTCAGGAGGCTGAAGCAGGAGAATCACTTGAATCCGGGAGGCGGAGGTTGCAGTGAGCCGAGATAGCACCACTACACTCCAGCCTGGGCAACAGAGCGAGACTCCATCTCAAATAAATAAATAAATAAATAAATAAATAAATAATCACCCAACTTCCCTCAACTGATCTACTACAATAACTTCCCCCTCACAGTCCACTCTCCATAGACCAGCCAGGATGATGACATTAAAATGCAAATTAAATCTTGTCGCATTTCTGCTGAAAACCCTTCAGTGGCCTCCTAGTGCAATTAGGAAAAAACATGACTCCCTGGCCAGACGCGGTGGCTCACACCTGTAATTCCAGCACCTTGCAGGGCCGAGGCAGGATGATCGCTTGAGCCCAGAAGTTGGAGACCAACTTATCAAAAACAAAAACCAAAGAAAACAAGACTCGGTAATGTGGGTTCCAAGGCCAGATATCAGCTGACCGGAGTCCACCTCTTCATAATCCATTCTACTTCTTTCCCTCAAACATCCCAGGACTGTAGCTGCCTCAAGGCCTTTGCACCAACGTTTTCCTGTTCAACTCTACTATTCATTCAGGTATCTAGTCAAGTGTCACCCCCAGAGCAGCCACCCAGGGTGCAATGTCACCACCACTGCCTCTCCAGTCAACGAAAGCACTATGTGTTTGTTGCACTGTACCTCCCCCATCTGCCCACTCAGTAGATTGAGCGCTCTATGAGAGCAGGGACTTGTTCACTGCTGGGTCCCCAGAGCAGGGACCAGAACAGGCGCTGGGAAAACATCTGTTGAATGTCCCAGGTACTCCAAACCCGCTCTTTTCAATACCAAGCAGGTCCCAAGTCTCCAGGCTTCCAGACCAGGGTTACTGGGTGCGAAGCCCAGGGGTGAGAGTAACAGGAAGCAGGGCAGATCCCTCCCTGCCGTTAAGCCAGCGTGAAGGGTTTAACCTCCAGGACAAGACTTTTGCCACAGGCTCCAGCTCCTGGCCTAGACTTGGGGCTGACGGAGGGGACAAGGTGAAGAGATGAGCCAGGGTCTCGGGAACCCAGATCCCCTCACCCCTCTATCCACTCCCCATCCCAAGGAATGGTGCGTCCCGCCGCAGGGCGTACGGACAAA